TTCGGCCCGGTGCTCTGTTGCTGCGGCTGCTGCTGCTGTTGCTGCGTTGGATTAGGCTGTGTCTTGGACTGCGCCGTCGGCAGCACCGCCGGTATCCCTCTCATAGGTTTGCTGACACTCTGAGGACCGCCCATTTGCATTCCGAGACCACCCGGTTGATTCTGCTGCGAGAATGGCTGACCTAGTTGCTGCTGTGGTTGGCCCATTTGCTGTTGTTGAAACTGTTGCGTTGGTTGTTGCGAGTACCCTTGATTCGGCTGTTGCTGTTGCTGGTATGGCTGATTCGGCTGTTGCTGGTATGGTTGATTCATTTGCTGCTGGCCTTGATAGTCCTGCTGTTGGAGGTGCTGGCCCGGGCCCTGCATACCCGGCATGTTACTACCAGCGATCCGATTGACCACGCCGCCCCTCCCCTTCCCCTAAAAACAAAGAGACATGGTTAATTCGATTTCTTCTTTCTCTTGACAAAATAATTATCTCGCTTTCTTGTTTTATTGATATTCAATCGCTAATAAATGAACAAACCGTATCTATTTTTTCGCCTAACTCTATCACGCGCGTTCTATCGTTACTTTCGCTAGTGTCACCTCTGTGAGGCTATTCTTCTATCATTCCGAAGATTCTACGATTCGCTAACGCAAATAAATTGTCGGCAATTTGAAAGATATATGTGATGATTTCTGTTTTATGTAATGGTAAAAAATAATTGGCAAGAGAAAGAAATACTGTGAGTATATGTTTCGAGATAAGAGAGAGAAGGTAACATAAGAATGGACGAAAATTTATAAAGATCTTCGTGTTGTATTTCCGATTCGCCCTTTTGTAAAATATGTGTTAGTGCGGGACATTCATGTCACAATGATTTATCGAGGCGTAAAATAGGTTTTTTTTCTTCTTTTTGCGATGATCTTTATTAAAATGAGGAAAGATCAAATAAGAAGATGCTACAGCATGCTGCACGATTCAAAGCGTTTCAAATGGCATACATTGACACGAGACACATATAGCTTACGTGCCATCTTCGACACGTGTGTTTTACAATAAAGCGTGACTCAATACTTGCAAAAAGAAGAATATACAACTAAGTAAAATACAAAAATGCTGACTCAAATAGTTGTCAGATTTTTCTAATTAAACATGACTTTGCTAATTCTTCTCATTGTCAGTCCACATTGCATTAGAAAAATTAATATTTCAAAAAATTCGTTTTATGAAATAATTAAAATATTTTTGTATGTATCTATACTTTACAATATCATTTGCATTCATGCAAAAAGATCAAAAATTATTGAATAATTATTTCTAATAAAGATAGAGTTGCGAGTTAGAGCTGACAGCAAAGCATAGAGAGCAACATGTAATTGAAAAAAATGCATAAAAATGCATAAAAATACAAGAGAGAGACCATAAATTTTTTTTGTAAAGTTCTAGTTTCTATAACTTAATCTAATCTCTCTCTATATTTTATCTATATGCAGAAGTAAATCAAATAAAGAAACTTGAAAAAATAATTTGTCAATTGATCGCATCCTAACAAAAATCCTAATGAAATACAATTGAAATGTTTTTTAAAGAAAATATTCATTCGCTTTAAATAAGAAAATATTCATTCGCTCTAAAATTTTGAGCAGCCATGTGATAACAAAAAATTCAAGTTTTCCTCTCTTCATTTCTCATCGAAAGGAAATTAACAACTTAGGTCGTGGAACAACGACTTGTCAATCACGGACAATTGTTGATCGTGGAAGCCCCGATGTACCTGAAGAACAAGCGCACGAAAAGTGTGGATAAAAAGCACATACGTTCGACAAAAAGCACATAAGAGAAAAAGAGAGAAAGAGAGAGAGAGAGAGAGAGAGAGAGAGAGAGAGAAAGAGAAAGAAAAAGCGCACGAAGAAATTCTCGGAAGAGGAGCGGGCTCACCTGTTGCTGAAGGTGGGGCAGTACGGGACCTTGCTGATGGGCACCCATGACACCGCCGCTGGGTGGCAAGTGACTGGGCCCATGCTGATTGGACGTGGTTACGGTCGTGTAGCTGTGGTGATTCGCTTGTTGATAGGCTAGATGCGGTGGATTGTTTTGATGTTGTAGTTGATGTTGTTGGTTGTTCATTAGTGATGGTGGTGGTTGTTGTTGTAGTTGTCTAGAGTCTAAGTGACAGACAGGGACAGACACAGGCACAATGCAGGCATCTAGCAACAGAGAAGAGAACAGAACCGTGTTGTCATTTATGGCGCATTTATCTTTTACTTTTCTTTTCCTTTTTTTCTATTTTCTTTTTCTCTTTTCCTTCGAGTCGATCGAGCATGTCAGGGTATATACTACCGAGATTTCGAAGAGCCGCGAGCAGCGAAATAGATCGTTCAGATGAGATCAATAATTATTTGAATGAGATTCGGAATTATTTGACGAGATCTTATAAGTCACACGAGTTTCAATGGGCACAACATCGCCATTCGTTCTCCGGTATTCTTGGATGAAACTCGCGACTGTCGGTTTATATCGTCCGATCAATGAACAAACGAAAGATCAACGTAATCGTAAATGGCCAGCATGACAACACGACACGAACGACAATCATGTGACACGACGACCATCGATCAGTTCAGGCACACAGAAACAGATCATGTCGGTATAAAGTAAACTGTTACATATCACAGCGACATGATCGTGTGTATATAATCAGTCAGATAAATATATATATAGTGTAAATATATAATATATACGTATGTATATAATATAGACAGAAAGAATAGGACAGATACGTAGAGTAATAGTAACAGAGGCAGATAGTGCCCGGAGAGAAAAAAAAATATATATATAAATATACGTATATACGTAAATATAATCATAATCATATAAACGTATATAAACATATATATATATATATACATTAGATATATACTTATATAATAGAAGACATTGAAAGCAGCTTGGTGTTTTATTGCATATATATAATCTATCGTCGTGTGTATGACAGCACGTGTTTTCACGGACGTTTACCAAATTCTTTTTATATACATGTGACGCGAAGAACTCTATCGGTGTAATACTTGTAACGTTAACGATCGTGGTAACAGTTAACAGAATAACATGACGTTGTTAAATGCCTACGAGAGCGTGATATCGATGTACATTGCTGGAAGAACCGGTGTTGACCGGTGGTGCGTGTGAAGCGACACAACGAGTCCTCTCGCGTCGAGAGGCACGTGTAGGGCGTGTCGGACACGCGGTTTACACACCTTGCTCCAAAAGAACTTCAATCTAATTATACGCCGCATGCTCATTCGGCTCGAATTGCATATCGATTCGAATTCGCCAAATTGCGCAATGCTAATAATATATCAGTGTGGCCCTTCTGCCTGTCGTCTGGCACACATCTGGTTTCGTGTCTTGTGTTGCTTGACGCTTGCATTTTCGTTTTTGCGCACACCGACGCGATCGTCATCGATTTTGCATTTTATGAGGAACAATACGTACGCATCTTCGATCCAATTGCTCAATCATCCAAGACAATAAAATGATGCGTCGCGTCGGTGTGAAAACGTCAACAACCCCTCGAGCCAGTTCCAACATCCGCGAAGAGATTGAATTTTATACGACACATGGCAATCTCTAACTTACAGCGGAAATAAAGTATTTCTGGCTTTTAATAATTTGGCAGTTTGCGCTTCTTGCATTGCGCTGCGGATGCTGTGTTTTTACATCAAAACATTCACGGTGATTGGGTACGTCAAAACAATATCAATATATACACATGGAGAAAAAGAATTTTACTGACGAAGCAAAACCATGGATGCTACTACATATAATGCGAAAATACTTTTACTATCAAAAACAGTTATTGCTTTGATAATTAATTAACATTACAGCGAAGTCTATTCTCTTGATAAAATGAAAAAAAATCTCATTGAGTTTACTTGCGGGCACATTAATGTGCTGCGAAGCAAAATACAAGTAAATGCAACAAATAAAATTAGTATCTTTAAAATAAATTTTTTCACTGTTTATATAATAACCGGATTTGCTATAATAATAAAATACTTTGGAACAACAAATTTTTTTCTCCATGCAGAACACACAATTAATTCCGATGTCGTCTTGGCTTGAGGAGCTATTCATGCCCTGATAATTGGTACTATAAGGAGGATTTGATGAATATGAATGGTATTTGATTGCGTGTTTACCTTTGCCACGTCGATGACCGGCCGGGGGTGGTTCGCGAGGAGGTGGCGGTGGCCCCCTCGCGCCCGGTCCTTGGCTCTGGCCGCCGGGTCGCCTGCTACCCTGCGGCGGTTGTCCCTGATTTTGTCCGGGTGCCTCAGTGAGGAAATTACTCGGTACTAAACCGCGCACGCCATTCAACTCGCCCATGTAAAATCCATCATCATCCATATCGCCATAGACGTATATCTCGTTCCCGGTTTGGAACGTTAATTCGACTTGCTGCAAAATTAAGGCAATTAATAATGAAAACATATAAATTATTATGTAAGTCATTATGTAAACACGTGGCAATAAATTAATTATGTATAGTTAGTGGATTCTTAAGACTCCGATTGAATATCTAAATAAAACAAAAATCTTACAGCATCAACGTTAGGAGATAATTCATGAGGATCATAATCGTAGAGGGCTATCATCTTTTTCACAGGCATGCTTGCATAAATGTCTCCCCATCTCTCGTTCTGTGCAGGTCCCCTCCTACCAGGCTGCCCTTGACCTGGTGGATCTTTAAGCTCCTCCACCATATTATAAGGAACATATCCTCGCCTACCACGACACTCGCCCCAGTAAAAACCATCAGCATCTTTTTCGCCATATACCTATGGGAAAAAAACGTATATGATTTTTCTATCATGTAATACAATGGTTTCCATTTATATAATTTATAGATATAATGCGAAGTGTGTGAAATTAAATGTACCTCAAGTTAATCTAAAGTTTTATAAGAAATATATGCATATCTTTTTACGGAAATCATTTTTAATTTAAGTTTAATTAAAATAGTTTCAATAATCACAAATATTAAATAAGAATGATGTAGGATAAGATATAGAATTAGAACCTTGATGGTATCGCCTTCGGAAAATGGTAATTCCTCCTCGCACGCATCTGGATTTGGTGACATGGTCGTAGGATCGTAGTCAAATAGTGCCACGAACCACCGTTGTCTCTTATTCATTTGTTGAGCTACATTCGATGGATGACTTGCTCCACCTTGAGCCTGTGGTACTCGTCCGGCACGATAAACTCCTCTTCCCCTTTGAGATCCTAAACAATATTTAAAGAAGTGAACATAATAACATATGACACATGGATTCATTTTGTACACTTAAAGTTGATAGACGATTAGACAGCATGATTATTTTACACCAAACACTGCAGCGAGAGAAGAGAGTCCGAAAGAAGAGAAGAGTGCCACACATATCATTCAGGGTTTATCTTCAGAGTTGTAACATAAATAGCAATTTTTCGAAATAATTAATTAGAAGAAAAACGAAATTATTATTAAATTGGAAAGTGATGCAAAGAATGCAAAGAATTCCATCACAGCAACACAGTGACCATTATATCTACCCGTTTGGTCATAATAAGGATCTTGTGGTCTACTGCTGGGACCACCCATGCTAGGAGACCTATGTGCTCCAGGCGGGCCCTGTGGATCCATTTGTGGGCCATACCGATGATGCGGACCGTGATGCTGTGGTGGCATTCCCCGCGATCTTCGCGTGGGATCGTCCTCCTCGCTATAATTTGCTTCGCTTGCAGAATCTTTTGTAATTTCCGGAATTCCTACACGAGATAATTAAAAATCGCGATTAAGTATAAGTATAAATCACGCAGGGGAGCTTGGGTTGTACAAAAGTCATTCATATTAAACCCAGATTCCCTTGCTTCTTTATATATTTCAAAATATTTACCCATCTGAGGAATGCTTTGTCCAGGATAAATCTCTTTGTCGGAGAGATTCTCATCCGTCTCGATGATAACCTGCCCGTGGGCGTCTACCCTGTTGCCCACGTGTCGTCGCATGTGCGAAGGCACCGGTGCGTTTGGATATCGCTGAGCTACACCGCTGGCCATGCGATGGCGATTGGGATCATCCTGCTGGGGACCCATAGTAGACTGTTGCGGTTGCCGCTGATCCACCATATGCGGGAGTCCATGGGGTGGCGGCATGTGAGTGCCGGGACCACCCCGAAGCACGCTGCAGGGTATCGCTGTTGCGCAACTATCGCCCGACTGACTCTCCCTACTTTTAGTCCTGACGGTGATGTGCTTCGGATTGAGACCCATGAGCTTGTGTATGTCGACGAGCGCGTGATCCCCGGTGGGGCTGTCAACGTCGGTGACCTTCTTACCATCAGCGTACACCGCGTAACCGGTGACGGCCGAACCGTTTAGGGCAACAGGCTGCCAGGTCACTAGCAAAGTGCCGTCCTGCGGTCCAGCCTCCACCTAAAAATTGGATGACAGTACGTATCATGAGTGCTACGAAAACTTTTAAGAATCATTGACAGAAATTCTAGAAACTCTAGTCTCTAGTATCTGATTCTGGTCACTACGAATTTTTATTTCATTTCTGAAAAACATCAGAATTTAATATTGCTCTCTTGAATTTTTATTATAACTATAGAAAATTTGAAAAGCATAAGATTAAAAAATACAAGATGATTATATTTGCGTATTAACCTGGATATCGACCGGAGGATCTGGTAATCCTTTGGGCAACGTTTTAAAGTGGACGTGACAGGCCAAGTTATTTGCTGCCTGAGCATTTTGATCCTCAAAATGCGTCGCCCGCAGGTTCTTCGCCTTAACAGTCACCCTGTATATCGTTGACGGGGCCAAGCCGGTGATGGTGTGTCTGTAGACGCCCGGTTTCACGGTTCTCACTTCCACGTTGTTCACGCATACAACATGCTGATGATTGCTGTTGCTGGGTAACCAGGATATCACAGCACTAGTCGCCGTGACGTTCGATGCTTTGACGGCAGTCGGGCCCAGTGCAATGTCCTTACCGATCACCATCGTGCAAGCGGCATCACGCGACGTTCTTCTCGAGTGCGTGACCGAGCGTACGCTTATTCTGTGCGGCTGCATCAGCGAAAGAACAATTTCAAGATAATTAAATTGGATTACATAAACAGATGATATAACTGATACTTTTATACAAATCGATCCCTCATTTTCAATCTTACATAACTTTGCGTGCCAGTCTAAAAAATTTAAGATGATTAATTTTTTATAAAGAACTCTTTTATATCACATATAGATAATTTTTTTTCTATTATAATAATTATGTAAATCGTATTAATTAATAATTATAACTTTAATTAAAATTTCAAGTATTGTCCCTCATATTGTATTTATAAATTCTTTTTAAGGAAGCTAATAAATAAAGGGTTTTATTACGAACCCGCGTAGAATCGACTCCTTCCACCAAGGCCCTGGTCCTCTCTGTAGCCTTCACCGTGACTTTCAGCACGCCGTCCACGTAGACGTGATAGGACTCGAGTTGATGCGTATTGTCGGGCGCGGTCCATCCGATCAGCACGCTCTTATTGAGTTGCCGCTCAAGCGTAAGGTGCTGCGGCGCCGGAACTAGGTCCGAAAACATGTAGACTTCTTCAGGAGGAAAAGACAAAGACAAAGCCTAGCTGTAGCTAAGGATCTCTCACTATCGTCTATCTCTCTAAGCCAGCCTAAATCCAGCCAACACTTAATACAGTGCAATGATTTTCGGTTTTCTGTATTTCCCATTTTATTTTGTGATTATTCACTCCGTGAAAACCGGTACAGGATTCAGGCGTGGACGTTTACCGTGTGATGTTTGCGTATATATATATATATCTTGTTCTGAATTACAACGTGCAATAAATAGGGTAAAAGAAACTGTAGAAACACGCCGAGGGTATATTTATCAATAATTTGACATTATTTCTTGGATAGTCATCAACGTTGAGTTGAACATACATTATTGCCTACACATCAAGCAGGATTGATAAATTGTGGAAGTAAGATTTTCTCTAAAAACAATTTTTTGTAGTTACGGGTCATTAAATTGTGTTATTTTGGAAACGTGTAGTCGAAAAAACGTATCAAACACGTCGCTAAAAGCGGATCAATTTTTCTTCAAAGATGATCCAAGTACCAAATATACCTACATATTACTGGATTACTGGATTGCGAATATAAATTTGATAACATTACATCATCTAATTTAGCATTAAGGACATGCGCCATGCAATACTTTGCAGAACGTTACAATAACAAATTGATAGAGTATTAACCTGGTGGTTCCTGCTCATCCTCCTCCGCGATATTGTCGAGTTCCGCATACGCGGATAGTTCTGCTTGACGATTCCGATTTCCTTCTTCTAACGCGGCTAATTCTAAATCAATATCTTGCAGATAACACTAAAATAAATCAAATTAGAATTATTATTATTATCTTTCATTAATGTTTTCTAAATAAAGTTTTCACAATACTTATTATTTTCAGATATATATATTATTATTTTCATATATCAATAATAGGTAACATCGATCCTGTTTATCGTGTAGAAAAAATTGTAAGTAAAATGCAAATATAAATGCATCTAACTCATTAGGTACCTCATTAGTTTTTTAGATTGCTCACTTGAGGGATATTTGTCGAGACGGAATCGTCTACATCCCTGAGGCCAAGAACAGCTTGATGAAATTCCAGCAAATCGTCTCCGATCAACTTCTGTACGAAATTGGCGGGCACCAGACCGCGTCTACCGTCAAGCGTCTCCGCGTCTAGGAAGCCATCATCGTCGGGCTGACCCCAAACCAAGAGATAATCGCCACCCTGGACCGGTAGTTCCGCTTCTGGATTCGCGTTCGGCGAGTGCTGGAACGGCTCGTAGCTAAAGCGAGCTATGTAAACATAACATCTGCCTTTGCCGGGTACATCCAACATGTCCACTTGACCCTCGGATACAATGTCCTCAGTGTTGGTTAGTCGGTCCAGGGGATTCGTCAGTATACTCGTGGGAATCTTCGGCATTTGCCTAGGACCCAGAAAATGGTAGCCGGTCGCGGTACCGGGCGCGGTCGGCGAACTGGCGCGCAAGCTCTGCTGGATCTGTTGGATAATCGCCTGCTGCTGAAGCTGATTTGCCTGCGACTGGGCGGAGAGTTGCTGCATCGCTTGCAGAGGATCGCCTATTGCTTGTAACAGGCCTCCTGAACTAGTACCTGCACAGATACGCGTTGTTAATAGAATGGCCAATTAACGTTAAAATTTATCATATCTACACAAATGTTTTACATTGAAGAGTAAACAAATTCAATTTAATAATGCTACGATTTATATTTTTAAAATAAAAAAAATAAAAGTTAAATCATTTTTTAGTCTTAAAAATATTACACCTAAGAGACTAAATCTTTCAATAATGTGCATTAATGCGATTCTGACCTGAGCTTACGCCCGACGTCCCGAAAGCGTTGGTCCCGACAGTAGTGGAGTATGTCGATCCACTGGTAGCGAAAGTGCTCTGACCGGTGGAAAAAGGAAGAACGGACTGAGGTACGCTCGTGAGTCCCCCAAGGGTGGAATGATAGGACGTGGTGGAATACAGCGGCAGCGAGGACAACGTTGTCTGCGTAATGTTCGTCTGCGGCACGGTATAATTATGATGCGGCAACGGGGTGTTGTAGCTGGTCGCACCTGTGCTGTACGTTCCATTTGTATGCGAGGCCATGGACAAACTAGGATATGTCGTTGCCTGCGCGAGACAAATTGATTATTGTGAAATTTATAGTCGTCTCAATTTTTTTTTAACTTTTAATATCAGATATTACAATAGAATTATAAAATTAAACGATTCGGTACCAAAAACTGCAATGTTTGACTCAACATTAATTTGTAAATATTAGGATCTATTCTAGACGGGTATCTCATAAATTGAATACTAAAAATAATGCTATTCGTTCTATCTATAGGCTTCCAGTACTTTACTTGCTTATAAGAAAGTAATCGTAATTGAATAATTGACGACACACCTGTTGACTCCCATTCAACTGATAATTCTGGGCGGTCTGGGCAGGCTGTGTATAGTGAGGTATCACGCTCTGGCTAGCCGATGTCAGGTACGTGGTCGAGGCCGGATGCTGCTGCTGTTGCTGAAGCGGTTGCTGATACGTTTGCGTATGTGGGTAACTCTCCTGATACTGATTGCTTGTGAAGTGTGAGGTATGCGTTTGCTGCTGTTTTTGTTGGGATGGTAGAACGCTTTGAGAATGAGAACTCGACATCTCATGCTGCGACTGTTGCTGGTACTGTTGAATTTTCTGCTGGAAAGCGGGCTGCGATTGACTGCTGGAAAGTGACGGTGCCGGCGGTATCGGTTCGCTGTAGTGATATGGTGGTCCATTCGGCGTCAGAGGAGGACAACCAGGCATCATCGGCGTTAATGGCATTGGTGAACCTGCATACTGTTCGAACAAGTTTTATCAATAATAAGCAAATATCAGAAAGAGAGCATAGATTACTTCAGAAAATTACTTAAAGAATTATTTTTGTCGGTTCTCATTTTTAACAAGAATAAATTGGGAAATTTTATACCGAATTTTTATTAAAAAAAAATTAGGTAGAAAGATTATGTAATATTGTACAATATTATGTAAGCGGATTACGCACATGGCTCATCTGGGTAGGCATCCCGAGGTTGAGGGCGTGCGGATGAGGTGGATGCTGATGCTGGCCGAGGTTGGGAAGATTCTCCGAGCTGGACCTAAGGATTCCTTGCGTGACCGAGGGTTGCTGCGTGGTTATCGCGCCCCGTGTGAGGTCCAATTCATGCAATATTCTGACGGAGCTGAAGTCATTTTTATTAATACAAAATCCGTGCGATTCACTTATAAGTCATACACAATTAAAACAATTAACGCTTTTATAAACAACTAATGTTTACACAAATTAATACATTAATATAATTAGTAACATTTAAATTAAACAATGTGTCAAAAAAGAGAGAGGCTCAATAAAATTAAATAATAATATAAAAGAGGGCTACGAGCCTAAGATAATAATTTTAATATAAATAGTTAAATCATACAAACAAAAACAATCGTATATACAAATTATTTTAGGCTCGTAGCACTCTTTTATATTATTTAACACTTAAATTGATAGAATGTGCTTTCACGATTGATTGCCGATTTCTCTCGATTAAAAGGATCCATTTTGTCAATCGGCATACCCTTTATCTTGCTCAATCTTGGCCATGAGTCTATCAATCTCAGATCCGGCTGGCGGCCAAGTGGATGTAGGGGCGTTCGTGGACGTGACATGTCCCACGATCGGCCCCCTACTGCGCGCACGTCTCACAGTAGTCAGCTCCAACGACAATTCCTCGTGCCTCACTATCGCCAACTCGGTCTTCGTTTCGAGCTCTCGGATCTTCGATTGCAACACCTCAACCGATTCCGGACCCTGATAGCGTCCTGCTATCTTTTCCCGTAGCTGGTTCTGTGTGTCCGCATGCTGCCTCTCCAGTTCCGCTCGCTGGGCTTCCGTCTCCCGCATTTTCTAAAAACAATTGATCATTAGCGTCATAAATAAATTTATCAATATGCGATAGACAGACTATCCTCTTTGGCATGTGATCGATGTTACGCGATAGTATGTCGTTACGTAGATACGACAGCGATTTGCTAAGGTTGCACCGATGTCTCGATTAATAATAGCTATTTACAGATGATTTATTGTTCCGAATCACGCAGTGACACACGAAATAAATATTTATATATTTTTATGAATGCTTGATACAAAAAATAGGATTTAGAATTGTAATATATATTTTATATTACATACTGAAATAGAAGTGACGCTACATTGTAATAGAAAAAACATTAATGTGTTAAATGTAATACTTTAGACTTTAGAGTTTAATGTACGTGGGAATTTTATAATAGACTTTAATATAATTTCATAGAGTTATCCAACGTTTCTTTTAGAGTGGGAATAAGGGATAAAAAGAGAAATTGGTTCGATTTTTGTGGTTGCAAGGCTTTTAATAACTCGGAGCGACGTGTAGTTGGATACGCGACAAGAATGTCACATTTGTAATGAAGGAGAGCTTTTGTGCTCCGATGCCCGAAGGTGTGCTGATCTCGCTATATATAATCTAACTGTAGAGATCTTTTGTCAAAAAATGATATAAAAAAAAAGACAATGCTAATGGGGATCACGCTTTCTTCGACATTTCCTCTTGAATAGCTTTTTATAATTAGTTAACAATTATGGCACGACACCGATCGCTTTATAATCTGTAAAATTGCTTACCATTTCGCGAAATTAATTGCTCAATTATCTCGATTACGGTAGCTTGAACTTCTGCCGGGTCAGTATTAATTTTCCGCGTACAGATTTCCGAGATCCGCTTTGAGGCATGATCGCGTACAGGAGACATAAATTTCAGTCGTTAACAAAGTTTAAGCGGTTTATATTTTACGCGCGGCGGAGCTGCGAATTAAAGTTCCTTCGAGAACGAGCAATCATTACCGGAACGCATTAATAAAAACTTTTGTTTTTCATATTACGTTTGCTTTATCAAGTGCCGGCGAGCGCCACGCCGAGAGTGAAAGAGAGCTTTTCATGAGCTGCGATTCATTGTCGATGGTTTACACGTAACTTTCACGCGCACACGTGTGTATATGTGCGTATTGATTACATGCATATTACCTTTCCACGTAATCTGTTTAATTTCAAGGACTTTCAATTCACGACAAAGCGCACGCACACGTTTTACGAATTCATTAATATCGCCACGCAGATAATCTTTAATTTTTACCAGCCACAAAATAATATCCCGCTGCCTTATTAAAAATACTTTTCCTGTAGATTTAAAATAACTCAGTTTCTCTCACATAAAAAATAATACGCAGAAATCTCACCTAAAAACAAAAATTAAAAAAGGAAAAATACAAAAACTGTTCTTAAAATATTTTCCATTACATTAGAGATTGCGTTTAATAAAAATTTAAGTTATTAATAATGTATAATTAATAATGAATAATTAATAGTAAAATATTTTAAAATGAGTATAAAAAAAATTAATTAAATTCAACACATTAATGAAACAAATACGTCATGCTCTTGTTTTAATAAAATTTCTTTGTTTTATTAATACTGTTGTTAATCAACATTATTTAAAATAATGCTGTTGATCCAATATCATTTTTTTCAATGCAGATAATAAATTCTCAAAATAAAATTTAAAAAATGGAAAAGCACGTTTGCAAAATTGTTTTATATATTCGAATAATGCTCACCTCCAGGATGGATTCGAGAAATGCGTCCTGCATAATGGTGGTTCTCGTGGAGGTGGTAGCCCCGACAGCGGATCCGGTACCGTGCAGCTGCGGAGCCTGAGGTGCCGTGGAAGCGCCACCTCCAACACCACAGCACTGCAACATCCCTGAAGTCTGAGACCCTCGCCAGTCTTTATCGCGGCCGGTCCCTATCGATCTAGCGTGTGTGTCTAGGAGCTATCTTAATTAATTGGGCGGCCTTTGCGCGGCCCGCCGAGCCGCGCCGCGCACCGCACGACGATCCCACACACGCCTAACAGTGCGACTCTATTGCAGTACAAAGTATAGAATTCTTATTTCTCCCGTCACGTGCGTATCCCGCCTCAGGAATGAGCCGGAACTTGTTCTCGTAGCTCTCTCGGGAAACGGGGGGACCTCGCGTTTAAGGGGAACCAGCGTTCTTTCGCATCGGATCAGCTGATTCGTAGTTAGATATGGGGTCATCCTAGGAGAAAATGCACGTATGCAAAATATTTTTAATGAGTGGGCACTCTCGCTACTATCTTATATTTTCAGATTTAGGAAACAAGATGAATATTTAATGAGCGAAATTATTGACGTGTTAATTATGAATCTACAAAATGTGAGAAATGTATGTCGTAGCCAAATATAGCGCGAATTAGGTTGCATCGATTTTGGCCCTTCATTTGATAAAGTTACTTTCAAGCAACCTGATTTTCTTATCTACATATTTTATTTACGGCCTTTAAACTAGATATCTTTTTTGATGCACCGTAAGTTCTCTATAGTCTTTTCATTTAATTTAAAGATAAACAAAAAAAAGTTATTAATTCAAAGACTATTTAAGACTTTAGAATAATAAGAAAGAAAAACTTTCTTCAACTTGATCCTTTCTGTGTCAAATAAAGGGCGGCTTTACGATTCAACTATCGCGCATTAAAGGCTGCTAAAACTGCAAGAGTTTCTTGTTAAGTGAGAAAGTCAATCGGCGCGATTATTGGCAACAGGTATTGGTGCGAGGAATTCGATCGAGTTTGTAATCCGCCGGTAGAAATCCTCGCTTCGGTTTGCGACTTTATGGTCGACGGTCGCTCGTTGCCGGCATCCACAATGAACCCAACCGACCGCGAATATGTACTTTAACATCGACGGCACAGCCAGGGAGTATTAACTACAGCGCGCGAGCACAGTGCTTGCGCGATATTTCGTGTTAACGCGTTGCGTGCGGCCAAGTGCTCGATTGTGGTTTTTACTCGAAAAAAATTGCCACGATTGAGACTACATATGCACACACAACATACACACACACACAAACATGCATACACGTACATCTAAGCCGCACTTGTCACAGAATCTTAACGTGTACGTTACAACGAGTGACACGTGCCTTGTTCCAAGCGAGCTTCAGTTAGCGATTTACGCGCATCGCGGAGTTTCACGCCCTCGTCCCGTTATCTCTGCGTCTATGCACCGAGATAAAAGTGCATGCGGCTAACTTTCCCCGCTTTCTTTCTTGCCTCCTATCTCCAATCACCAAAGATCAAACGTGGTTTTTTTTTTACTGCGATATTCAGTTGTCTCATCAGTCATCGATGTTTGACGTTCGGAAATCCGGAAGCGAAAAGTAAATAAATTGGCCCTGCAAAAGAATAGAGTAAGAACTTTATACGTACATTTTTCGTTAAAGAGTAGTTAGAGAAACGTATATTGCAGTTGGAGAAACGGAGAAATGTATCGGCACAAAGGTATACTAAATCGACGTAAAAGAAGTTAGTATGTGAGAAAAGTTAAATTAGCTGTGCTACGAGTCAACAAACATTTTTTATCAATAGAATTAAACGCGATAGTTGACGTAAGAGCGTGTGTAATGCGCTGTAAAAATCACTCGCGTACACTGTATAATTGACAATGAAGTGCAAAAGGGAAAACATCTCGCTAGACGCAGCCTCTCATTTTCCTTTTCTTTCATCGCCTTCCTATTAACGCGATTTAATGGCAACTCTCTCCGCGTACGCTTCCATCCTCTGATACTATTTAATTGCTGTACATGCTCCCGCTCTTTGTTTCTCTTTCTCCCGACACTAACGAACACAGTGAAAGCGACGATCAGGAAATTATCCGCTTTTCTGTTGCACAAGTTCATGAACACGTTGACGAACAATCAGCGTTGCTGTTACAATGCACGTAGAGGAACAAAATGCGATAAAACAAGCTACGATACAACTCGAAGAATCGATATGGTATCTTAAAATAACCGAGTAGTAAAAACTTTCTTGCGCGTGCAGAACTAAAAAAGATATATAAAACTAAAAAAAAATCAGAACAAGTGCGTATGTATTACGCGAATGTCTGTCATTACGATTGAGTGCATAATGCCGCGAGAAGAAATATCAGATTTTTTTCCGATAAAAAAAAACTCGCTTCCGACCCCTCTATCCACGCATTGCGAGTTAATACCAGACTCCTATATTAATGCCGAATTATCGATTTTATTCTGCCACACGCGGTTCACCTCTCGCGGCTTAGGTAAATACATCTTATCGCTGTTACTTTGTAGCTACTTTGTTCTTCACAGTGTGGAGCTCTTTTCGCTCGTCAACCCTTTGATTGCCGACATTGTAGCGATCGTTGAGCATAAATCGATTGAGACTGATTGAACAATTGATAGTGTGCTAAATCAAGTCTAAATAACGGAATTATATAAACAATACATCATCAATAGAAGATATTTTTTTTTTTAAATGATTTTAGAAATTGAAGAAAGATTTTATAGCAGAACTTGTAAAAAGAATAATTTGTTGTTAGTTATCTTTTATCTGTTATGATATCTAACATTTGAATAGACATTCATTCTTTACATTTGTAAGGTAATTCATTTTATAAAAACCTAAAAAGTTCTTACGCAATTCTTTTGCAGGATAAATCATTAATTATGTGGCAATCTCGGACCATTTTGAGTTAAAACGAGAATTTTTTTTCGCGAAGTTTTTTTTTTAATACTTTCTAGTTGCTTAGTTCAATCATGAAAAGCATGTCGTTATGAAAAATCGATATAAAATTTCGTGGGTCTGATAACACAGAACGAAACTGTAGAAATAGATAAAGATAATTTTGTTGCAACAAAATGTGTTGCAACTGAAAATGTGAAAAAGAAATTTGTACAGTACGAAAGACGACGAATGAACGAAGAAGCTCAGAGTAAGATAGATGAAGAAAGACGGAGATAGCAATAAGGAGACGGCAAGAAATCCTACCGTGTGCTGGCTGGCAACGATTCGATCCTAGATGCGAACAAGAAGTGCTACCAAGTGCTACGTGAACAGACGAGCGATATCGAGGAATACCTCGATGGCGGACGAGATAACGATTGATACACGGAGATAAACGGGCGGAAAAGGGCACTCTCGGCCGAAATTTGAACGTGGAAGAGTTTGAAGAAGTCTCATTGAATCGCCCTTCAAAGAGGACAAGGAGAAACGGAGAACGAGAGAAAAGGAGAGGTTCCGATAAAACACTGCACTTCCGGTCACTGAAAGCCAACCCTCGACGATGACTCGGAAGGCTGTCCACCTTCGAAACACTTTGGCACTTTGACGTTCGACGTGCGACTCGTGATCAAGCCTCGTGCAACCAAATTGGGCAGTCAAGACAACGCAACGTCAAGGGGAGCGGAGGTAGCGATGGGGTTGGAGAAAAGGCGCGCAATCAGACTGGGGAAGAAGGAAACATCAAACACGGAACGACTTTCTCGGTAGGGGCACGACACGAGTAGCCACGGCACTGCTTATTGATCTCACTAAAGGGCGAAAGGTACGTAGTGTACATGTGCACCCGGTGCGCACCGGACACCACTGCACGGCGGGTACGTAGTGCAAGCACTATCGCGAACCAACGGTGGTGACGGCAGCGACGGTGGTGGTGGTGGCGGTGGCGGCGACGGCGGTGGTGGCAGCGACACCACCGACACTCCACGATTATTGTCCGCCATACTGGTCCGTCGTCCCGGTGCCGCCTGCCGCTGCTACCGTCGTCGTCGCTGCCATCCTTATCCCCATCACTGACACTCTTCCATAACGAACTGTTACTGTGATCCTCGATACGTTGAGCTTGTGGATTGACCAAATTAGACAAATAAAAGATTCACTCCCGGAAATGTCTCGCGCGAGTTATACATTTGGAGGTGCCGCCTGCGATATTCCGCATTCGTGACACTCGCTTATTGCCTCCTCGGTGTCTCGAGAATGTCATACTTAGTCAGACCGGTGTCAGCTAATCGGATTTTCTTTCACTCCCGTTCGCACTCTTCAGACACTCCTCTCTGTCGCTCGTTCTCTCGCTCTCACCCTTTCTCTCTCTCTCGCGTTCACCCTCATCCTTGCACCTGACTCACACCAGCTTTCACTCTACCTCCTCGTCGACGCGACACTTACGATGACCGAATCGAAGGGATTGTGGCAGGCCAGGGCTGCTGCTGCTGATGAGCGAACTCTCCTCGGTACCTGCCAAGCTTTTTCACTCGGCTATCATCCCGTACAACCCCCAAGATCTGCTCGGCCGTGGAAGGCAGGCAGGGCTGCTGGAGTCGGGGGTAGGGGGTGATGGTGGTGGTCGCTCGCCGATGTCGGGGGAAGGGGGTAACGAGTGGGGGTACAACGGCCCGTGTGGGGTGGAGGTGTACCCCCGTATGGAGTACAAGGAATGGCAAACGAACGGGGGTGTTATCGAGGAGAGGGCAGACGCGCGCGCCAGGATGCGAGAAGCGTCAAAGGGGCGGTTGGAAAGGCGACGGGGGTGTTAGGAGGGCGAGGGCAGAGGTTCCCGTCACCGCTAGATATGGGTCACTCGGCGATCGATGCCGATATAGAGTCCCTGTATCGTCGGAGTCCGTTGCACGATCTTCCCTTACATCACTTCTCGCTCGCTCTCGTCGACCTGGGGGAATGGAAAGTGGTCCCCCTTTCACCCTCGCCGCCGGGACGCGCGTCGGCTCGATCGCTCGCCGGCGTGTTCGCGCGCTCACGACATTATCATCGGCGACGGGGGACGACCGCGATGATTCGCGCGCGACGTTAAAAGGGTTCGATCGACCGTGCCAAACATGGCGGCACCGCCACCCTGGTGGCTGATACCCTGGAAGTCTAGTGACTTGACGAAATGGTTCGCGTCGCGGCTACATGGGGGTGTAGCTTTCACAAAAGACCAATCAATACGCAAGAGGTGATCCTACGATATCTCTACTCTCTCCCTCTCATTGTCACTCCTTCTCTTCTTCTCTCTGTTTTTCTACTTCTCTCACTCCCTCTTTCCGAAACTCTCCCGCCATCGACTCTCCATCCCCGTCTACTCTCCCTCTCCTTCGCCACCCTCTCCTTCGCCACCCTCTCCATCGCCTACATCTATTTCATTTGTCTTACTCTGTTCTTTGATTCTCCTCTATTCGTTTCATTCTAACCCGTCGTGCTTTCTCCTCACGCGCGATTTTTCTCTCGTGGACGAATGGCCAATGTAGAATGGCACGGAGAATAGAGAGGGGGATCTACCAAGATTCGGAGAAGCAGTCTAATTTTAACACGACGTCGCACGCACGCCTATCCAAAATTTCCTCGTACGGAAGAGACAGTACCTCTCTCGTCATCTAAAACGATCTTGCCGTATCACCAGGAACGTACCAATTTCGCCTCTGTAGAAATTCCAAATATCCTCCATGAGTCCATAAGATGATTAGTGATTACGCTAATGTACCGGTTGCATCAATCAACGGATAAACGTGATGGTTCTGGCGTCATATCTCGTTTAATTTTAATAATCTACAACAGATACAATAGTTATAGACATTTTAATCAATTCATTAAAAAATGTTTTAATCAATTCGTAAAAAAAATATTTTTATTAATTCAATAATGGCATGCAGTTGAGTGTGGAGGAATAATAAAGTATTGTTAGGAGTCTCTTGGCACATTGCCACGCAGACTAATTAGAATGCAATTTCCTCCAGTTACGTTGCTGCGTTAAAAGAATTGTACATCAAGGAAATAATAGTCTACGTTCAACAATTATGCTTTCAACCACAGATAACGCGATTAGATAAATTCACGTGTAAACTATACGAGAGAAGAGGCTTCGCTGTGTGTACACGATACAGTAAAGAAACCGGATGCATTGCAACGCTGATGGTCGCCACTGCGATTCAGGACTCGGCGCGACGCTGCGCAAGCGTCCGTTGACGTCATCGGGTCTAAGGCACGGGGTGTTATACGCTTATCAATGAACGTACGACGCCTACGGCGAGTACCTGTTCTCCAGCCAGCGCACCACCGGCGAGCACATCCCTCCGCCGATCCTCCCTTACTCACCGCCCTTGCGACCGCATGCCCTACGTGCCCATTCTCGTCGGTAGCCTTCGCGCTACCTGATCGCCGTTCATTGGCCAGGTGTACAAGAGCGATGGTTGAAAGCCAATACTGTGATACCCCGCAACCTATTTTCTCACCAACGCATAATACGAAATCTGGTTGAGAGAATTATGGATGACGAATAGAAACCTTATATTTCTTTTAACTTTTTAATAAGAATTACTATCATAAATTAAAATCTTATCTTGAAATTAAAATGCTCAGGAAATATCATTTTTAAATTTTGTAAAATTATATAATAATGTTAATAATCGATATTGAAATTTACATACCGAGTTGAACGTTAGTTTTATATTTTTATGTCCTACAAAATTGTGCGACTATCACAAAACTCTCTTATATCTATAGTAGTTGCCGCTCGCGATGTATAGATGCATCTTTCTCATTGAGTAATTTAAAGCGAATCGATCGTCGGACCGTGCGATTCGCTTAATCAAACGAGTCGCATCAGTGTTACTTCGTCATCAGTTCGAACGTTTACTAATTAATATTAACATTTAGAAACGTCACATGTTATGAGATAGTACTTGAAATAGTACTTTGGAGCACAAAAATAAAATCTTGACGTTTTGGTAAAAATAAATGATACCTTTCGATACCTTTTTTTTCTTGTTCATTTGTCTGAAAGGGGCGCCAAGTGTCTTAAAGGGGCGCCAAGAAGTACAGGGCCTAGGGTGAAAAAATGTGTATAAAACTGCCACTGTCTCCAAGTTTAATTAAAGGAATATCTCTGATGTTATTTCTGTATATCGTCATACTGGCTCTCTATAGGATCTTTCTTTGTGATAGTCGCTTTTAATGATGACTGCTTTTTTATATGCTTTTTATATGCTTTTTTATATTATTTACATTTATTTTTTTCATTACATAACGTCGCAACCAGTTCTAATACAACATATATACATAAGCGGGGATATTTTTTCGTCATGCGCGGACCACTGAAATAATCGTTGACGCGGGTTAGAGTGCAAAGTATACTGTAGTCGCAGTGTGTTCAATCGCCGAACGTATACTCCGTTGTATCTCCGTGAATGTATTTCTGTCGAGTGCAATTCATTGTTTAATTATAGCACAATACATATATTATCTTAAACCGAAGATTTTAAAATATATTTTTACGTATATAAATACACTAAGTATATATATTTTTATATTTAGAATAGTGTACATTAGAATACAAGATAACTGTGGAAAAATACGTTTATTGAGTGTTATCAAAAGTTACTTTGTTATCAAGATCACTTTGTTAACAAATAAAAAGAAAATTAGATTCTGTATTCGTCGGCGACGAATATCGTGATTAATCAATTGTAAAGAAGAAACCGATTTTAAGAATAATCGACGCCGTTTCTTGATTTTTTCAGGTATTAAAAAAATCAAATTGTAATTTGTGATGTAGAATTAAATGTTGAATGTGTGTAGAATTAAAATTACGCGAAAGCATATTAAAGTTATTTTATTCGACAAACAAAAATACCTTGTATTTGTGTTCTTTTAAAGTTTCATTCATAAAGTTTCTATTCATATAATCTGTTCTAGTCAAAAGTGTCATCATTATACGTGTAAGAAAAGGTGATAGGGAATTGTGAACATGTGACAAACAAAATGATACTAATTTTTATATTTATATTATTAATATCTCAAACGATTGTGGTTAACGTTCGAACGTTTCGGCGCACCGTCACATCTGAGATAATTAAATTTAAAAATGAAGAATATGTATTATATTCATAACATCTAACTTTGACCAATATTATTGGCGTTCTTTATACTCTCTAAATCTGAATCAGTGGATATTCACTGATATTAGTGCCAAGTATGCCACTGGTAATCAGTGAATTAAATGTGAGATCCCTAATCTAGCTAATCTTTATTATGTGATCTAACTAACCTTGTTTTAGTGCTTAAATTTAATGAATATGGTATGAAGATTGAAATTAACGTGCAAGTATCAGTATTTTAGTTATATAATGCTCAAACATTCTTTCTTTTTTAGTTGAACTTCACTGATTATGAGTGCCAAATATGCCACTGGGTAATTAGCGACTATCCATTGATTCAGATTTAGAGAGTATTTATGTAAAAATGATACTATTTTTACTCTTTATAGTAAAGAGGTCGGGTAGTGATGACCTCTCACTTCTTGTACCCGGTCATGATTCCATATAAGTACGTCAGTTAGTACAACGCTATTAATATGTAATCAGATGATTACATATACAGGGTGTCCCGAAATTTTTTGCCATGCGCTCTTGTGTAGATAGAGCGGACTGAGTCGAAAAATCTTCTACCATTTTACAATTTTCGCAATAGTTAACAAGATTAATTATTAAAAATTGCCACATATATATTGGTCTTCAATAATTTTTTTCTGAAATACTATCGACTTTACAGAAAAACTGCAAGAGATAAAAATTGTTTATTTTCTTCTCATAGAACTCTAAGAATTTTTTCAGAATTTTTTATCAATTTTTTAATACTGTATTTTCTTATTGGCGACTATTTGTATCAACATGATGAGAAAATACAATATTAAAAAATTCTGAAAAAATTCTGAAAAAATTTTCAGAACTTAATGAGAAGAAAATAAGCAATTTTTGTCTCTCGCTGTTTTTCTGTAAAGTTGATACTATTTGAGTAAAAAATTATTGAAAACCGATATTCAACGATTTTTAGTAATTAATATCTTGTTAATTATTACGAAAATTGCAAAATGATAGAGGACTTTTCGACTCAATTTAGTCCGCTCTATCTACACACGAACGTTTAGCAAAAAATTTCGGGACACCTTGTATATTATGGCGAATTCGATTGGAAGCACTAGTGCTCACTGGTGCATATTAAACTCGTTGTACACTGATTTAATTTGAGTATAAAAATGAAATGCAAATATTTCGAATTATGAAATACATATTTTACCTAATTGGTACAATAAAATGTATTAGGTATTTCACGATTTAATTCGTTTTTATATTTTTATTAAATACACATTTTTACGATAATTTGTGTACAACGGCTTTAATGTGCACCAGTACGCACTGAGTGCATCCAATCGAATTCATTATTAGTAGTGCGCACTAGTGCACATTAAAGCCGTTGTACACAAATTATCGTAAAAATGTGTATTTAATAAAAATATAAAAACGAATTAAATCGTGAAATTCTCAATAAGTACATTTTATTGTTAAGTAAAGTCTGTATTTTATAATTTTCAATATTTGCATTTTATTTTTATACAGATAAATAAGTGTACAATGGCTTTAATATGCACTAGTGCGTCTAGCTGAGTTCGTTATAAAATAAATATCATTATATAAGATCTATTCTTTATCAATGATCTTTCTGAACTAGTGTTTGTTTCACTTCACAACTTATTGCACCGCATGCACAAGTTTAGAAAATTCTTCGATAAAAAACAAATTTAAGCTTTCAATGTTCTGACACAACAATGCTCACAATTTAATATTCTACTCTCCGACGTATAAATTATGCAAATAATAATCTTAGATCCGTATTCAGATCGCGCTTTTATTGATAAATATGTACTTTTATTAATGAAATTTTATAGTATACGTAATGTTAACTACATGTTAAATACGCGCTAACATCCTAAAAACACGTTCTGAATATGCCTTAATTTCTTAATACTGAATATTTTAATGCTAAATTCAGTATTCTACAATGCTATGCTTTTTAAATATAAGATTGAGTGCCAGAAATAATCTTAATTCTGATCTAAACATCGAGATTGCGTAATAGAAATTATTGTGACGTCACTCGAGCGAAATTATATATCAGCTATTCGTAAGCGACGGTTCTTACATTTGCGGCGAAAGTTCTACTATGCGGGAAACCAATGGTCCGCATTTCAGCTATTTGACTTTATGTTCTGGATTTTCTTCGTTTCGCTATCGCGCATGTCTACATTAATAAGAAGGCTATTAATTTTAATAGATAGTTCTTTACAACAGAATATTTAATGAGATTATTATATACAATTATTATATTATAATTATTATACAATGATCATTACAATTATTATACAATGATTATATTATAATATAATTTCTTATAGGATGAGATTTGGCCACACGATCGAAGACTCGCGGAAGAAATATCCAGAAATCACGGACGAAATTTTGGACAGTCTGCAAAAATGGGCGAATGACCGAGGCCTTCCCAATATTCCCGAAGAACAATTGGCGTTATTCGCGCACAGTTGTTACTTCGATATAGAGGCCACGAAACGATGCATGAACGTTTACTACAGGATGCGAGCCACGATTCCGGAATTTTTTAACAATAGGGATTCCAGCCTTGACAATTTGCAACACTCTTTGAAAATCTTGTATGTACTTATCAGCGTACATAATCTTGAATAATCTTTATTCATTTAAACAATAAATAATATGAAAGAAAAGCCTTGTGTTTCGCAAATAAGAGGGAAGTTTTATCTTTCGCGTTGCGCATGTACAATTCTCACATCACAGATACGAGAAATCACGGAAATAATTAGAAAAAAAATTGTAATATTTATTTATACGGATCGAGCTTCTCAACTCGATGCGACTTATGTTAACGAAAACATATTATTGTCTTTGCTCGAATGCAATGATTAATTGTTACAAATGTTACATGGATGCAGAACGATTTTTTTCTACCTTAATCGATTCCTCTCTTTCCTTTCAATCCGTCTCGTTCTTTAATTATATGCCTGTCAATAGTTATTTTGGTACATGACCGCATTATCGCTATAATTTTTCCACGTCGCTCAATTATGACGCAACTCACTTAGTACTGTTAAGCGTCTTAATAACCGAGAAAAATTTTTTACTTTTGTTCTTCTCTCTCTCTTTGATTCCAAAAGAATTAAAGCCATGGCACACATTTTCCGTAACAGTAACCATAAGACATACCGTATAATAAAGAATCAATTACTTTAAACTAAGAAGCACCAATAACGGTCTGAACGTTAAGATGTTGAACTATTTTAAATTCATTTTTAAATGAATTAATTTCAAAAATTATAATTGCGTGCCGATATGGTTGTCGGACTTTCAACGCAATCAAATCTGAAATATTAATAATCCCCCCAAAATTCCCAACTTAAAAACTGTAATAAACTTATTGCGAAAAATAATGCCTCGGCCGGGAGTCGAACCCGGATCTCTTGATTGACCAAAGTCTCGGTAGTCTAAAGGCTTAGGACGCTCGCACGGAATGCAAGAGATCCGGGTTCGACTCCTGGCCGAGGTATTATTTTTCGCAATAAGTTTATTACAATTTTTAAGTTGGGAATTTTGGGGGAATTATTAATATTTCAGATTTGATTGCGTTGAAAGTCCGACAACCATATCGGCACGCAATTATAATTTTTGAAATTAATTCATTTAAAAATGAATTTAAAATAGTTCAACATCTTATAACGTTCAGACCGTTATTGGAGCTTCTTAGTTTAAAGTAATGTATTTAACATAAGCGGTCTTCCAATCTTATTATAAAGAATCAACCAATTACAGTCAAGAATTCTTTTAAACTCTTAATTCTAATTGGCTGATTCTTACGGTAAGTTTTATGATTACTGTTATGGAAAGTGTGTGCTATGGCCTTTATTTGATCAGATTCAATATTCGCATATAACAATTAAACTTGTGCGACATTTATGCAATAAATAACGACGAACTTTTCTATTCGTTCGATATTCGTTCGCAGGTATGTACCCGGCTTAATACATTAAAATATGCTCAAAAAGTTTAACTTTTATCTGTGTTGTAGGGAATTCGCGATACTTCCCAAGCTCGATCGAAATGGTAACCGGATAATTATTCATCGATTGATAGATTCACGGCCATCTCAGTTCATATTCAACGACGACATCAAGCTGCAGTTAATGTGTATCGAAGCAAGCCTCTATATGAATGGTTGTTCGGAGGGATATATAATTCTTTTTGATATGATTAAAACGCAGTTCGGTCATTTGTTCAGATCGCCGATGAACGGCATTCGCAAATTCTTAGAGTTCATTCAAGAAGGCATACCGGTGAGGCTTAAAGGCATCTATGTGGTAAATGCGGTCTGGTTTATGGACAAGTTGATTGCGCTTGTCAGACCATTCATAAAGGAAGAGCTATTCGAAATAGTAAGTTGATTTACGATTCGCGACCGATACTAGTATGACCAAGATTGATAAAAGGAACATTTTGCATTATAAACGTATTTTTTATAGTAGTAGCGCGTTTACGAGTTTTTGGGACTAAAACTTTAGGGTACCAAATTACCAAGGGCGCTATAGCTTTAATAAAAATCAAAGAAATTAGATAATTTAATTCTTTCATGCCTAGTGGCACATAAATGTGCGAAACCTTTAAAAATTTATATTTTTCACAAAAATAAAGATAGCAACTTCTCTTCCTGGATTTATTTTAAAAATAAAGGATAAAATTCTTCATAAAAAAATCAACATTCTTGAGAGTTTTCCTCCTTTATCTGTCTACTTCATCAAAAATTCATAAAAATAAAAAATGCATATATCTTCCACAAAAATTAAAATAGCGAGTTCTATCTGGAGTCATTTTCAAGATCAACATTTGTAAGAAAAATCGTTATTCGGCCGAGGTAATATTTTTCACAATAAATTTATTTACAGTTTTTCAGCACATTAACATCTTGCTAATATGATGCCGTGCATCAAAATTGTCAATTAATTTAATTTGTATTGTTCTAGTAGTTTAATTGCGTTTATAAGTTCGGAAAACCAAATTCGGCGCGCAGTTTGAAGGACTACAAATATGGAATATATGCAAGTTATAGCATATATATAATTCACATTAAAAATTATTTAAAGCATTAAAAGATCTAGCTTCGATCGGTATAGGCTTCTAGTTTATCGATTGTGTTTTCACATATATACGGTCTAAAAATGAAATTCTTATTGTTTAAAAATTATATTTTAAAAATAAAAAATTTGTAAATTAGCCTTGTAAATTAATTCGAACCAGAATTGTACAAATGGAAAATACTTCGATTCTCATATATGCAGTTACGTATACACCGTGAATATGCATTTTTGCGCATTGACATTAAGAAGATATATTGATATTTCTGGTTTCATGCATGTTACGCGGTTACGCCGGAGCGGCGGTTTACAAATTGATTTTAATTTTCATCACTCCCGCAGATTCACATTTACTCGGGTGATATCTCCAACTTGTATTCTCGTATACCGCCCGAATGTCTGCCGAAGGACTATGGTGGGGAATTGGACTGTATCACAAACTTTCATAGTAAGTACATACAACGGCAACTCTTAAGCAACGGTAAATAGCATCAAGATATCTACAACATGTTGAAGGCTTTATAAAAAAAATTGTCTTATTAATTATTAGAACAGTTTAGTTGAAAATTATTAACATTGTACATTATTATTTTTATTTGCAGAAGCATACTGTATGAAATTAGATCAATTGCGGAATTATTTCCGGGAGGAGGAAGCTCTGTTCCGCAATTATTCGCCTAATAACATCAGGACAGCGAGTAAATAGATTATACTAGACGCTACCGAAAATCTAAAAGATTAGATATCATCGCAATGGCTTACGTGTAAAAAATAACATTAGTTAGTTGATGTGTAATATACAGGTGTAACAAATAGCATATTAGTCACTTACATTATTTATGTACAATTAAATTATTAATGTACATTAGAGCCCTATATCGGTCGAAGCTAGATCTTAAATGCTTAAATAATTCAATCTTGAATCACTAAATATGATATATATGTACTTGACATACTCGTATATATTTAATGATTCAAGATTGAATTATTTAAGCATTTAAGATCTAGCTTCGACCGATATATGGCTCTAATTTATCGATTGTATTTCTCACATATAAGGGAGACCGGGGTCAGTAAACTATAGGGGTAAGTAGAATAATCGAGGCTACGTTATAAACAAATCGCGCGAGAGAGAGACACGCGTAAACCCTGAGCGACTGCCGCTCAGTCTGCTGTAACATCTCGTTGCTAACACATCTATGATAGAAGTTACGTTACAATTTAAAAAAATCGTACACCTAAGTAAACATTTTTATTCTTAAAGTTTTTGTTTTACAGTCGTATATAATTGTCTGAGATATTTTATTTCCATTTAGATAGTAAGCGTAGTTCTTACTTAATAAAGTCGAACAGATTATTTTTGTTTATCTGTCTTTGTTATCGTATACTGTTATCGTATACTGTTTTTAAAAAATGAATGGATGGGGCTAGTAGGCTAATCACAATACGGGGCTATATGACTAATTTAGTGATGACTGATAGTATCTACTCCCAAACTTCTTGAAATGAAATCTCACTCTAAAAAAGTGAAAATACAGTCAGTTTTGAAAAAGAGTGGCAATATTTCATTCCTTTAGAGAGATTTACCTCAATGGTAAGTATTATAAGTTTAGTTACCTTATGTCCAATCTCGATAAAACTAGGCTCATTCGACGTGTTTTTGCAGTCAAAAGAACGAATTTAGTAAAAAGAAGCATTGTTCTGCCTTGTGAATCGAAATATTAATCGTTAAAGTTTGTTAAGTTAGAAAATCTGTCATTCACTACGCCCTGGTAAAAACGTTG